TAAGAATAAAATTTCAACTATATTTTATTTTTTTTGAAAGGCGAATATTTATTTAGTAATAACATGATGTGAGAGATATATGAGTGCTAAGATGGAAAGGTTTAATACACCTACACACAAAAACATATAACAAAGAAAGCAGCAAGACATTATGTCAACTAAACCAGCATCAACTATATTTTATTTGCCTGGATTTCCTGTGGCCTAGTGTTATAGAGCCACATAGAAGTACGGTGTGAAAATTCAGCATAGAAGTACGTTGACCAGGATGGACGCTTATTAAGCTGCACTAACCAGTCACAGGCCAGGGTTAGAAATTAAAGGCATAAGAGAGTCGTGAATTTTTTCCCTCTTGGTTTCTAATTTATGGACCCAAATGAAAGAATGATATTCTTAGGTGAATGATATCTTGTACTAATAAGAGCTGGTGTTGGTCAAGGTACAGCTTTATCTTCTTATCTTTAGAAGCATTTCAGACAACCAGCTTTCCTTAAATGCACATCTACTCCGATGCCTAGGCTGAATGTACAATAAAGAACTCTTTAAAAATCCTATGATCAGAGCATAATCTTAATTGTCTCTTTCTCCTCAGAATGATTTGTCAGAAAAGAAGAGAGCTGTGTGAGACATATCGCCAGAAAAGCAAAACAACATAACCAATAACGTCAATCCCTTTCCACATGCTGAGGTTGTGGTGGCTTTGGAATGTATCAACTTGGCTAGTACGAACTACATTGCCTAGAATTCATTTCTCTGTATTTACAGTTAGACTTTTGTGCAATATTGGATAGTAGATGTGAAGTAACACTCAGATCATTTTGTTTTCTTGTTTGGCAGTTTTTGTCTTGTTTGTTTATTTTCTCAAACAAAAGTAAGATAACCAGGAACTGTTGAAACTCATAAGCATTGTCAGTTTGCTGGCTTACTTCATGGACATCAAATGATCCAGATTCTCCGGCACCTCCTTCATCTTTTCTGATTCAAGAGCCAGATGTGTTTGGGTCCACAATGAAGCGTTCCAGTTTCTTACTGCCTTGAGATTGAAAGCAGTGGGAACTGACATGAGTTCCCATACATCATTGCAGGTTCCAGCTGATGCTTGTAAGTTCCAGTTTTTCCTTGCTGCCTCTGACTTTACATCCACATTTCCCTTCTGACTGACTTCCTTACAGGCCTCAAACTCTAGCATCAGAAGTGAAGACAACAGCCTTGCAGAGACAGTTTAACCAGCTCTTTTCCACTGTGTAGGCTTGAATCACTATCACAAATCCCTTAATATAGAGAAATAGATTTATTCCCTTCAAGTGATTCTTCCTGGACTGATACAGAAATTTAGCATGTTACAAGGAAGGGAAAAAGGAAAAGCAGTCCCCTAGGTGAAAGCATGACAAAATTATCCAGAGAACAGTGTCAACTGTGGGGAAGAGGAATGGTAAAGAGACAGTGGAGAGTCTTGACACCCCTACTGGGACGGCTTCCCCACTCTACCCTTATCCTTAAATTTACCACAAGAGAAACAGCTAACCTGGAATTTAACTTTCTCACGAAGGCTAGCGAATACTCCTAAAGACTGTGAGCTCACAGGCACACTAACAAAAGACATTTGATACCAGGATTTAAAAAAAACAAACTGAGAAACTTATACCTGAAAAATAAGACTTAATTAGCTAGAGATTTAAAGTGAACATTATAATCATCTTCAGAAAGATGAGGAAGATATTATTAACATAAAGAAAGAGCTAGCAGTTATATGGTATAACCAAATAGAAATACTATAGCATAAATAAAAATTTGAGATAAAGAACTCAATGCGTGATATTATAGGAGAGTAAAGACAGTTGAAGAACAAGCTAGTGAGCTGAAAGGTAAGAATGAAGAAATCTTAGAAAGCACTAGGAAAAAATAAGGGCTTCCCTGGTGGCTCAGATGGTAAAGAATCTGCCTGCAATGTAGGAGACCCAGGTTCAATTCCTGGGTCAGGAAGATCCTCTGGAGAAGGGAATGGTTCCACTCCAGTATTATTGACTGGGAAATTTCATGGACAGAGGAGCCTGGTGGGCTACAGTTCCTGGGGTCACGGAGAGCCAGATACGACTTAGCTACTAAACAACAAAGACCCTAAAGTAACTACTAAAAAAAAAAGACAAGTGAGCCTACAAGAAAGATAAAATGTAATTGCTAAAAATATAATAATTCAAAAGAAAGCCAAAAAAGAGGAAATATAAAGAACAGTGAGATTATACCATATACAAAAATTAATTCAAAAGAGACAAAGACATAAACATAAGACCTGAAACTGTAAAACTCCCAGAAGGATACAAGGGGAAAACAACAAAGAACTAGCATCCAGAATAAATATAAATGTGTGTGTATATATATATGTGTGTGTGTGTGTGTGTTTGTATCATGATCTAGGAATAGAATCTGTGCCTCCTGCATTGGCAGACGGATTCTTTACCACTAAGCCACCAGTGAAGCCCAATGTTTTAGGGTAATATATACACATATTCTAAAATATATAAACATATTTTAAAATCTCCCCCAAATCAATAAAAGACCACCAGGAAAACAGCAAAAGAAATGTACAGATATTTCACAAAAGGGCCAGCTCCAATGATCCTAAACACAGAGTCCTTAAATATATAAGATGTTCAACCTCACTAGTAATCAGGAAAATACAAGTTAAACACAATATGGAAGACAATTTTAAGCCGTAAGAAAGGCAAATTTCTAAGTGAGACAATGTCACTGGTAAGCTGTTTAGTAATGTGGACACTTATTCGCTGCTGGTGGGAGTATAAATTATTTCAACTGCTTCAGAAAATAGTTTAACTTTCCTTATAAACCTGAAAGTGTACATTTCCTGCAATCCAGCAATTTCATTAGAATATATACACTTTAGAGGAATTCTTGCACCCTAAGTTAATTCATACACGTAATTCAGGAATATGTAAGACAGTGTTTATAGAAATTTTGATCATATTGTAAAAACTGTAAACAGCCCAAATATCCACCAACAGTATATATATATCCTATATAAATAAGTTGTGGCAAAATCTTATAATGAATATACATAGCTAAATATAAAAATATGGATTAATTAAGCAAAAACATAATTTTGAGTGAAAAATAAAGTCACCATCAAATATACCATTTGATTATATTTAGGGGCTTCCGAGGTGGTGCTAATGGTAAAGAACTCACCTGCCAAAGCAGGAGACATAAGAGACAGGGTTTTCATCTCTGGGTTGGAAAGATCCCCTGGAGGGAGAAATGACAACCCACTCCAGTATTCTTGCCTGGAGAATCCCATAGACAGAGGAGCCCGGAGGGCTATAGCCCATGGGGTAACAAAGAGTTGGACTTGACTAAAGTGACTTAGCAGGCATGCATGTAAGATTCAAAAGCTGGCAAACAAAACAATATTCTACTTAGGGTTACCTATATAGGTATAAGGGCTTCCTCAATGGCTCAGTGGATAAAGGATCTTCCTGCAAAGCAGGAGACACAGGAGACCTGGGTTCCATCCCTGGGTCGGGAAGATAACTTGCAGAAGGAAATGGCAACCCACTCCAGTATTCTTGCCTGGAAATCCCATGGACAGAAGAACCTGGCAGGCTCCAGTCCATGGGGTTGCGAAGAGTTGGACACGACTAAGAACATATATAGGTATAAAATCCCCAAAGAAAGGAGGGAAAAGGTTAATGTACAATTCAAGATCTTGTTGAAGCCTCAGTAACAGAGCTGCAATCAATGAGTGACGTCTAAGAGGCTCTGAAAACAGTAATGCTCTGTCTCTTTGCTTTAATGGTACAGGTGTTTACTTGCCACCCTTTAACATGTCCATGTTCCTCTGTATTCAATAAGAGGCTCTGAAGAACACTAATGATCTACCTCTTTGCTTTAATGGTACAGGTGTTTACTTGCTACCCTTTAACATGTCCATGTTCATCTGCATTCACTCTTTCTGTGCATACTATATTAAAAAATTTTTTTTTAATTGCAGGTTCCAAGGCTACTAAACCAGGTATTTCAGTTCAATAGGTTAGGATGGCCCCAAGATAAGTAAATATCTGTAAAGTTCCCATGGTAATTCTGATTAAAGTAATCTGTGAGGAGCACATTTCAAGTAGATATTATTTCTATGGGTTTGAACTCTCAGGTATTTGGAACTTGACATTACCAAAAGAGTTACAACATGATTAAAGGAGGCAACTTATAATAAATAAACACACAACTCTTTCAATTCCAGAAATCATCATTTTACTATACAAAAAAAAAAAAAAAACAACCCAAAAAACCCTAAACATTTACAAAAGAAAATCAAAAGAAGTTGCATTTTTAGACCACTTGGGAAAATTACATGAGTCTGATGAACAAACATCAAAAAATGTCTCCGTACCATGTCAGTACCACCCAGAGAAACCCAGTTAACCATTATACCATAGGTTGAAGTGTTTAGTACCTGAAAGTCAACCCCATGCCCTCTTGGTTTATCATTTGCCTATGACAATATAAAACCCTGGCATCTTTCCACAACATGAAATTGTTGCCTATTAACTTTATAGGAATAAAATTTTGTTACAGGAAATAAAATATTAAAAAGATGACATAGGTCAGCTGCCAGTTGATATGAAGATGCATTAAGTTATAACAATCAGTTCAAGCAACACTTTAATAATTTTAGATATATTGACTCTAGTGTGCTGATATTCCAAGCAACCTTGCTACGGCATAGTTTTACATATATACAAATCATGTTATTGTATATACACATCAAGAAATTACTCCAGTCACCTCAATGGTAGTGCCTAGTTTTTAAGCAGAAATCTTCCTTTGGCTTCTTGTTCACAGTAAGGGCCATAGGCAGCCATTTCTTTCCAAGCGTTCACTGCATTCAAGGAAGCCTGAACTCCCAGTTTCTGTTTTCCTCATGGAATGATGGGCAGTATTGAGGATCTGAACTGACAATGTCTTTAGTAGAAATTTTCAAGCATTAGCTACACTTTTGTTCTCTGTGCTTCTACAAGACTGTACGACCCTGTCATGTTAGCTCTTCTAGCAAAGTAAGTAATCATTCCAATGGCAGTTAATATTAAGGCGGATGCACAATACAGCACGAGAAATTCAGGAGAAAAATAGTCCTTGTTACTTTCTCTTCCTGGAAAATAACAAGATGGATGCAATTAATGTCTGGTATGAAAAGAAATTGTTTAATAATAACAGTCACAAGTTTTATTTTAATAGTACCACTAGTTTTCTGAAGAAAAGTGAATTAAACCAGTGATAAGAACCAACAAGACTCAAATGCACATTTCTCTGAATTAATCAAATAATAGTTAGCAGTTGTTATGATCATAGAATCTAAAGATGCCAGCTGCTGACTTCCACAAACTTAGATTCACATAGATGCAGGTCCAATAGTAGGATGGAAGGAAGGGTGCGACTTTTTAAGGCTCATTTAGAAGAGTAAGAATGGGACAAGAGTGTTTGCTTTGGGAAATAAAAGTATGTACTAAAGAACTAGGACTCAGATTATTAATGAGTTAAAATAACTCACCAATTCTCCAAGAAAGGTCCTGAAATACCTACAGTGAAACCATTATAGTCAAACATCATGTATGAGATAGTAAGAGAAAGAATTCTTGCCAATGGGTTTTTTAGAAATAAATAGAAAATTTTATATTTTGTATCTCTGAAGTAGGGCATCTTAATATACATTATTCCTCTTCAGCATTTATATCATTTCTTGACAATATGAAGTTCTCTGGATAGCTTTATATTTTTACTTAAGTGTTACTTCCTCAAAGAGGCATTCTCTGACCTGCATTTCCACCAGCCTAAATTAGGAACTTAACATACAGGAGGAGAAGGGGGCAATAGAGGATGAGACGGTTGGATGGCATCACTGACTCAATGGACCTGAGTTTGAGCAGGCTCCAGGAGATGGTGAAGACATGGAAGCCTGGCGTGCTGCAGACCATGGGGTCGCCAAGAGTCAGACACAAATAAGTGACTGAACAACAACAATGCGCTTTTTTCCCTGTATACTTTTATAACCCACTACATTTTCCCTTCACAGCCCTCATCACAACTTATAGTTAAACATCTGTGTGTTTGATTATCTATTAATTTTGGTTCCCTCCTTCAGACTGAATTACATAAGGGCATGTATCTAGTTTCTTTTGATCCACCGCTCAGTAGCTAGTAACTGGTTCACTGCTTGGAGTAGCTTGCACCCAATAAATATCTTTTCTTTCCCCAATAATATCTTTCGAATAACAATATATATTGTCTTCTTTCTACATCCTGTCATTGTCATTAAGTCATAAATTGAATTCATAAAGTAATAGTGTCACAAAACTTTTAAATTAGTACTTTTTCTGCTGCTGCTGCTGCTGCTAAGTCACTTCAGTCGTGTCCGACTCTGTGCGACCCCAGAGATGGCAGCCCACCAGGCTCCCCCGTCCCTGGGATTCTCCAGGCAAAGTACTCTTAGTACTCTTTCTACTACGCTAAAAGTCGTCTGACAGTTACAATAGTATTTAACATTTTAACCTTATAAGAACATCTGAAGAAGACAGCATGATATTTACTGGCAATTCATCTCTATTTATATTTATTCTTGCACAGCACAGTATGACCTCATAAATAGTAAGTTTCTTCAAGAGGCTTCTATATTGTTTTTGTTCTAGAGGAAATGAATGATTTGACATTGATAATCATTGCTTTACTTCTAGAGGTTTCTAATCACCAGAAGTCAACCGAAAAGAAAAGAATCACTAGGGTCAGACGAAGGGAAGCTGATTTTTGAATTATTGAAGTTAAAAAAACTTCATCATAAACATAATGATAATTACCCTATTTTTCTATTTTTCCTTACTAGGGTGAACTAAGAGTATGAGAGTAATATTTTAATGACATATTCATTATCATAATTATGCTTAGGCATCAATATTGATGACATGGTAGGCAATGGTATTTCTGATCCTATTGTTTTCAAGTTAATAAGTATTATACTGTCTTTTGCCTTTGGTTTTTCCCCTCAGGTATCTGCAGTAAACTACAAATTTGCTGCTGAATTGGTTACCAGGACAACCTTCAAATATAGTTTTCTATTAACTGTATCAATACTGAAAATTCTATAAGACTCCCAAACATTTCTATCATTGAAATATATTCAAGCAAATGTATTTCTAAAGTAAAACAAACCAAAATTAGTTTAAAATCTCAGCTAAATGCAAAGGATGACTAGTTCAAAATTCCCAGGAAAACGTCAAATTTTGTTTCCATTAATTTTAATTAGTTGAAACCATATTTAGGGGTTCTAGCTGCGTGCCCACAATGTGCTTTAATTGTTCATTTAAGTAATGAGTGAAAAATAGCAAATATGTAAAGATATCAACTTAAAGCAATTAGAAAAGACAACAATGTATGAGAAACTTAAAAAGAGGAGAAGAAGCTTTGATACGTCTTTAAAAGAATCATTGACTACAAAAAGAATTATAAAAATGTTAGGAATCCCTGATGGCTTAGATGGTAAATAGTCTGCCTGCAGTGCAGGAGACCAGGGTTCGATCCCTGAGTCAGGAAGATCCCCTGGAGAAGGAAATGGCAACCCACTCCAGTATTCTTGCCTGGAAATCCCATGGATGGAGTAGCCTGGCGGGCTACAGTCCATGGGGTTGCAAAGAGTCGGACACAACTGAGCGACTTCACTTTAGGAATCCAAGTCCCTGGAACTAGGCTTAATTAAAGGTGGTCTGGAGACATCAAGGATTAAATAGGAATAGATGAATTTCAACCTACTCATAGCTGAGATCTCAATCATCCAGAAATCTAGAAGCATTGATTATATACACTCCTGTGTCATTTTCAGTGACATGATACAAGGGATATTGTTGTGTTTCGAGGAGGTATTGTGAAGACAGAAAACATGGTAAAGCTTGGAATCTTGAGAGATTTGATGAGATGAGTAAAATTTGAACCCATTTTCTGACCCAGATTTAAATTCTCTTTACATTGATAGTTGTTGTCTCTGGGAGCCCAGTGCCAAAGGCTCTTAAGAGTTGTATTTGTTCACAATCATGTTTATTTCAAGTTTGGCTTCCAGTACACAAAGGGGGCTCATTAGCACTCAAGGAGTGGAAGACTGAGCAATAAACGCAGACACTTACTACATTCATTGATAAGATCAACAGATCCTAATGTGAGTTCACAGATGGACTGAAATTAAGTTGGCCCCTGAAATTCCTCTGCCGGGATCCATGGCCCCCTCCCTCCCTTTCACCATCAGAAAACAATAGGATGCACTAGGAGCCTAGATATTCTAAGGAAGTAATTCTGTAGTCTAGAGACTCCTTTACATTGTTCAGCATTAAGATCATCATTCTCAAATCCAGAAAAGAGTTAATCTGGAAAATATGCAGTCACTTCTTATTCAGAGAGTGACACTCTCTTCGGGTAGGAAGGAAAAGGGTCTAGATAAACCTTTCTTTTTCCATGTGCCAATTCTACTTCTTTAGTTTCCCTATAACTCCCAAAGAAAGGTTTTGAAAATACATTTAAACACACAAGAAATGAAAGACCTCAGAGACCAACGATGAATTGTCAATGTTTCAAATAGCAAATGGGAATTCGGCACTGATTTATGATAAATGTCAACAACCTGGCTAAACTCCTTAGGACAGAGCACCTGTACATGATTATTTTAGGAAACACTAAGAAATAACCATAACTGACATGGAATTCAGTTCCATTTTGCCAACTCATTCATCTAACCCTTGAAATTCTTTACAATCCACCAAGCTTCAGACCTGTTATTAAAAATAACAAGAAACAAAAAAACAACAAAAAAAAACAAACTAACCTTTAACATCAAGTGTTAGGCTTCTTAGCTGTGAGCCAACTTCATTTTTAGATTCACACTGGTATACTCCCGCATCCTCTAACTGAGCCCTGTGAATGGTATATGCACCATCTGTAGACTGTAGCACTGTGTAGCCAGTCTTTGCTTTTTTCTTCAAAATTATCAAAGTTGGGGGAACATTCCCACATATACAGGAGATAATGACAGTGTCTCCTTCCTTGACACTCTCAGAGGGAAAAGCTGTAAGTTGTATATCTTTTGGAGCAACTGTGGAAAGAATTTAAAGATACCTCTGATTGAATGAAACATAAACACATTCCATATTAATTTAATGACAGTAACAATAGTTGTCAAGATGGTATTTGTGCTTACTGTTTGCATTAAATATTTAGAGGGGCAATTAAAGAAGTCAAACATTTACTGGATTCTTATAAATGGTCATATTTTTAATAAAAGAAGACATCTCATGCTTCCTTCATGTCCCTTATACAAGGATGCCAAACCCTCAGGCCATGAACTGGTACCAATCTGTGTCCTATTAGGAACCCAGTCACAGAGCAGGAGGTGAGCAGCAGACAAGTGACGCTTCATCTATATTTACACTCCCGCCCCACGGCTAGCATTACCAGATCAGTGGCAACATTAGACTCTCATAGAAGAAAGAACCCTACTGCTCTTGAATCACTCTGAAATGAGCCCCCTCCCCAACCCATGGAAAAACTGTCTTCCACAAAACCAGACCCTGGTGCCAAAAAGTTTGGGGACTGCAGCCTTAATGTAATTCTTACCCAACCTTAGCCAATGAATGGGTGTTTAAAAACAGTTAGAGATTTCAAATGTGGAAAATAACATTTTTGGGGGGGTCACTAAGTTGTGCAACTATTTCTTGAAGTACTTGATACTCTTTCCTCAACCAAAGCTACATCCTAAGAGCTTTCTTTAAGGTAGTGCATTGCTCTTCCAAGTTTCTTCCTTTCCTTTAAAATACAAATAACTATTGTAACAAGGTAATAAGACAGTCACTAACACCTTAGTGGAAATAATACCAAGGGATAAGAGAGGAACTGACAGCCCTAGTGAAGAAGAGGACCTCAAACCCCAAAAGGGAAGGTATGAGGGAAATCCAAATTGACCACTTCATGACTTTGCCCAAAACTGCCTAGAGCTTCAACCTGTCAACTAGAAGTTATTTTGTTCTCAGTTTTGCTTCTCCATCCTGGAAAGAATGGGTCTGGATCTCCTAACTTAATCCATCCTAGTGATTCTATGCCATTAAATTGATGAATCAGAATGAAAGGTCACTGCTACTCAATCTCAGAATTTATAAAAGATTTAAGTGCCTTCTTAGCCTTCTAAGCAAACCCTAGCAGTCATTTTATGAGATTACCATGAGGAATTTAATCCAGTTAGATAAGGTGATTTTGTATGCAAGGTGCTAAGTTGCTTCAGTCATGTCCAACTCTTTGCGACCCTATGGAGCATAGCCCGCCTGGCTCTCCTGTCCATGGGATTCTCCAGACAAGAATACTGGAGTGGGTTGCGGTGCTCTCCTCCAGGGGATCTTCCAGATCCAGGGATCCAACCCACATCTCTTACATTTAACCCACATTGTCAGGCAGGTTCTTCACCACTAGTGCCACCTGGGCCCTAAGTAATTCCAAAATATGTATATACGTCTTCCTATCCTTTTTTCAACACCATAATCAGTGCCTCATAAGTGTAACTGGAACTCTTGGCACAGTTCCTAGAGCTAGCTTTCCACTTGAGGTTGAAAGAATTTTAGGATAAGTGATTTGGAATGGTTCATGAAGAAGTACTATTCCAAATTTCCACACAGAACTCTTCAAAATGTTCAGTGCATTTTGTTTTAGAAAATTTGTTTTAAAAGGACTTTATTCAAAACCAGTAACATAACCAAAATAAGAATAGCGCTAATAACTCATTTAATCACTTTAGCTCACCTTGGATAATTAATTCGACTTCTTTTCTGCTTATTCCAGCCTGGTTAATGCCTTCACAGACATAAATACCAGAATCTTCCATTTTTGTAGACATGAAGGTGAGAGTTGCATTCTCAGAAATGGGCTGTAGATCCCCATTACTTAGCTGCCTGCTCCACAGGATTTTGGGAGCTGGAAGGCCATCGCTAGCGCATGTCATGTTCACAGAACTACCTTCCTCCAGGATGGAGGAGGGACTGACCAAGATGGTTGTATCCCTGGGAGCAACTGAAAAGGTAGGGACACTTGTTAGCTTTGCTGTTTACACCCCGAGTTCCAAAGAGTTTTTATCAGTGTTGCAAAACTTGGCTATGTATTTGTGGGTTAGAACAGTTTATAAACCTTGATAACTTTACCAAAGGAGTTTTCTGCCCTATTTACTTTAGCAGATACAAAATGATTGTTTTTGTTGTTTAGTCCCTAAGTCATGTCTGATTCTTTGTGACCTCATGGACTGTAGCTTGCCAGGCTTCTCTGTCCGTGGGATATCCCAGGCAAGAACACTGACATGGGTTGCCATCTCCTCTCCTGGGGATCTTACCAACCCAAGGATTGAGCCCAGTCTCCCACATAAGCAGACAGATTCTTTACCACTGACCCATCATGGAAGCCCTACACAGAATGATCCAGAGTAGAATATGAACATATCATGGATATTTTCTAATGGAAATAAAATCTATAGAAACATTCTTGCTGTCAAAAAAATGGATGGTCAATGATAGTGTGTATTGACATTTATAGTACATTAAACACGAACATGAGCTATGTAAATCACCTATGAAAAGGTGGACTCTATTTTTCAACCTCTTGAATCTAAGCTGTCCTTGTGACTAACTTTGACCAATATACCCTAGAAGAAGTAACTCTGTAGGACTTTCAAGCTTAGGCCCCAAGAAGCCACCTTCATTTTACTCTCTTGAAGCCCTGCACTCTGGTAACTAAATCTATGCTATCTCTGTTCATATGAAGAAAGGAAGGCACAGGCACCCCCAGAGAAGGCCCAGGCTTGGAAGTGAGGCTACCTGAGACCATCCCCCACTGAACTTCCAACAGACTGAAAATGAACATGTGTGTTCATCTGATACCGTATTGAATAAACTGCTCATCTGACCTCTTCCCAAACTACCAGCTTAGAATCATAAGCAAATAAACAGTTGCGTTAAGTTTGAGGGTTTTTTTTTTTTAATATGAAATCATTATTTTGTAGTTTCTTTTCAATTATTTCATTTCACAATGGTTTTAACTATGAACTTCATGTTAACTATTACCTGGAAAACATGATCAAAAAAAATTCACCTCAAGTTGTGGATACATCACACATGTACTTACCATTAACATAAAGTATCTGTGTACTCTGCCTTTGTTTGGGTTCAAATTCCATTTCATCAATAGGTAACTGAGCCAGACAAACAAGAACATTTCCAGTATCTTCAATGGTGGGGATGAAGGTCATCTCTAAACTCTTGGTCTCTAGGGCTTTCTTACTTAAATCTTCCAAAAAGATTTTATTCATCATAATACTCTCCCCTTTAAACAATTCAATCTCCAGCCGGTCCAAAGGATATACATTAGGAACCTTGCAACTTACAGTGACTGGGTTTCCACTCACTAACGGACCACTCATTTCAATTTCTGGATCACTAGGGAAGGCTGCAAATATAAAGCAAAATATGAGGTTTATACGTGACACTAGAAGAAAAACAGAGCTAATCTTTATTAAATGCAAAGTTCTCAAAGTGAAGGTTTTAATTCACCTGGGATAAAATGATTACTAATAGATACATCACAACATTAAATATAAATATTTATGATATCAAATATAAATAATGCTGGAAACAAAAAATACCTAGCACATCAAACCATCAAGAAATAAATATACTTCTCACTCTTCTCTCCTTAGTGATACAGTCTTACTGACAGCTACGGACTAGTCTTTTCAAAGGACACATCAGCTTCCACTATCTTACTTAGTAAATATATATTCTAAGCATTGTATTATTTTTTGTGATGTATTAGATGTTTACTGTGTGCTAGTCCCTTAATATTCATTATCTCAGTCTTCAAAACAGCATGATCTAATGGGTATTAACTTATTTTAAAGCTAGAAAAATGCACAGAGAATGTATTTGATAGCTAGGAGACTTATTAAACTTATAAAGGCTAAGAGTCTGCCATTTGACATCATATCTAGTAAGTCACCCAGCTGAGATCAGAATTCCTATTCCCTTGAGCTCAGAGCCCAGGCTTGGTTTCACAGACCCAAGCAATTTAGACATTTTTATTTCGAATGGCCAGGTTTAGGCAGAAAGTTTTAAATGTTTCTTGAATAATACTTGTAGTTCAGAAAAAAATATAAGAGATTCAGATTTTAAGTAATATTTATAACACATCTTGATACAAATCAAAAAAAGTAAGATGAGAACAGTTATCAAGAGCAATGCTAAAATTTTTTTCTCCTGTAGCAAAATGTTGTCAAGTGACAGATTCTCTAATGTTTCCACATGAGCATAGGCTTCACTGCTGGTTCTCATTGCTGTTGGGAGTGTGCTGCATCAGCGGCTCCTGGATTCTTGGTAATATGATAAAGCAATAAATTAACCTGTCTTTTGAGAGATTCAAATCCCTTTACAGCCATACTCTAACTCATTTTGAGCAAAATCTTGAGGGGTAACACAAGTTCGGGCAGGATTTCTGGAGGAAAATATCCACAACTGTTCTCTTGGATTCTGCTGAACAAAAACAAGGCAGAATGTGTGTGCTGTGTGCTGTGCTTAGCCCCTCAGTCATGTCTGACTCTACGCAACCCCGTGGACTATGTAGACCCCAGGCTCCTCTGTTCATGGAATTCTCCAGACAGGACTACTGGATTGAGTTGCCATTTCCTCTTCCAAAAGATCTTCCTGACCCAGGGATTGAATTTGCATTTCCTGCATTGCAGGCCGATTCTTTACCTTCTGAGCCACCAGGGAACTTTCTGATCACTTTGCATATCTTGTCCTCATTCATTATAAACTGAGGAATTCCAGCAATGTCAATTCATAGAGATTTGAAGCTCTACGATTTTGTTAGGGTGACAGGAACAGCAAGAAGAAGTGTAGTATATGTATGTGGTATAAATTAATACTCAAATCTAGTGCGATCTTCTGGTGCTTCTTTTCACCTGAGTTACTGCACTAACCATCCCTGGTGATCATTCTAACTCCCAGGTTTTCTCCTGCTCACCATGGCCTCATGTCTCCATCCTGCCAATCAGCTTTCAAATGTGCCTTTAAAACAGTAGGTTTGGGCTTCACCCTCCAATTCGAATAATTCGTCATCCCACCCCATTATCTGAATGGGCACTGTTCCTACTCTTTGCATACAACCATCTCTGTACACACCATATACAACCAGAGTAGGGTGGGTAGTAGGGGGCATGCAGTATGTTCCAGTCCATGATGAGAGAGTATAGACAAGACACAAACTAAGGATCAGGGATGCTGGATTCATATGTAATATTTACTGTGAAATATATACATCAAAGTTGCATCAAAAACTTTGGTTTGGAGATTTGAGAACCATTCACAATGCTAAATTCCCTTCCTAAACACAAAGATCTTCTTGTGTATCACAGATTTGCATTTTGCTTCTTTCAATGGAACCAGGAACAACAACAACAACAACAACAACAAAAACAGTAAACAATTTTGAAATCTACTTACAGTAGAGCTCCACCTGGATTCCCTTCTCCAGTTTCTTTTGCCCACACACCACAGTGCACAGGTAAAAATGTTCATTTTCAAAGCTCACAGGGCTCAGGGTCAACGTGGACTTGGAGCCCTCGGTCCTCACCTTCCCATTTAGAGGGCTGTCTATCTGTGTTCTCCAAGAAAAAGATGGGGAATCGCAGTCCCTGACATCACAGGTCAACACGACTGAGTCGCCAATCTGAGCAGCAATCTGGGGTCCAGGAGAGATCTCAACAGTAAACATTTTCTCTAGTGGGAAGAAAAGAACAAGACAAAATAAAATTCTTTCACCAAAGTTCAACATACAGTTGTGTTTTTTTTCTGACTTCTTTTCAGCTAACATCTGTGCCAAGAATATACTACTCCTTTCCACATTGGGACTATCAGGAAGGGAACCACATCTTTTAAGAACAAACACACAAGACGCTGTGATTCATTCATTCAACAGAATGAACAGGGATAAAAATGTGTCAAAACAGAGATTGGCACCTTTTCATAACAAAAATTCATTCTCCACTTAAATGTGTTTATCATATTCTTATAACCGAGGGACAAAAGCTCAAAAATATAAGATTCCAGCGTGTCAAGCACTGCTTAAACCACTTTACATATATGAATATTATCTCATTTAATCCACACAACTTCAGGATCTGGTCTTATTGCTTCTTCTCCTTGACTTTCAGTGTCTCATTCTACTTTTCCTTATTTTCCTTCCTTTCCTCCTTTTCCTCCTCCTCCCGTTTCTTCTTGAGGAAAAATAACTTCATCTAACTTGCAAGTGGCAAAATTAGGACTTGAAGCCAGGTGAGTCTGATTTAAGATCCCAGCTTTTCTCTTGAACAACTAAATCAAAATATCCTCAAGTGGAGAGATAACCAAATCTAAGGAAAGTACTGAAAAAAAGCTCTCTCTCTCTCTCTCTCTATATATATATATATATATATGGCTTCTGATTAAAAACAATACCTGTAACAGACCAGTATTTAGAGCTTCTGTTATCAACAGAATAAAGTTGTAACATGAAAGTCACATAGAAGCCCACTGAAAACACATACTGAAATCACACTGAAAAGAATGATTTCAGTATCACACGGCAAAGTCAAAATCTAAGCATTAAAGGGGTATGCAAGCCACCTCTTAAATTTGCTTAATACAGCATAAAGATGCTTTACAATTATTTCAATGGCTTAAGTGCAGGGCAAAAAATCTGCAATATCTAGCAAAGTTCTTTGACTGCCAAGGCAATCCCCGCAGGGCACCCCAGCTGCTTTGGGATGACTACTGTCTAGGGAGAAGAAGAATTTTAAATCTTGACTCTATTCCCCTAGCAAAAGTGGGAGTGGTTGGGCACCTCTAAAAGTGACAGATGAGACTTCACAGAAAACTCACTAAAACTCGCCATTGTAAATACCTGGCTAGAGATAGAAAAAAGAAATCACAGCATATACATAATCCAAAGGCACTACATTTTGAAGGGTTCTCATCCGTGCCAGAAGAATTTTCTCAGTTTGGTTTGTCTAACACGGCCATTACGGTATCTTCCAAAGAATGCTTCCCTCAAATTACCATAACAAACTGACATGCTATCAGATTTTTGAAGGAGAAAGTTCATTTAGAACAATAACCAGTGTTTCTGAATTCCTTATATGCTAGTGTGAGAATGGAGAACATAAAGATCTGCTTCCTGCCTGTGAACAGTCTCAGACTGTGTTTTACAGAGGCTGCACATGTTGCTGTGTAAACTCATGACTCCTGAAAGAGTAACTGTGAGATAGAAAAAAAGTGTTAGTCGCTCAGTCGTGTCCAACTCCTTGTGACCCCAAGGACTATAGCCTTCCAGGCTCCTCTGTCCACAGAATTCTCCAGGCAAGAATACTGGAGTGGGTAGCCATTTCCTTCTCCACTTCTCCAGAAGGTCTTCCAGGTCTAAGATAACTGAAGTTCAATTCTCTCTTCAGCACTTAAGGTTGCTAATGTCCTGTGATGCAAAATGAAAAGCAGCACTGCCTAATCCCAGAACATGTTTCCTTTTCACATTGAAATGGGATACAGCTAATCTTGGGGTAGAGTTATTCCAGATGAAAGATTAGCTTTACATGCTTTTATCAGTGTAATGTTTTTCCTGGTTTCTTGAAAAATGCTGACCTAAAAGCAAACGGGTTCATCTTTTGAGAGAGTTTGAGTTGTATCTTTTTAGCCATGCAAGTTCAAATTCCATGTTTTCATATTTTAAAAGTATGTTTTTTAATTTATGTTCACAAGTTATTCATTCAGTATCTACTGAGCACCTACTACATGGCAGGCACTCGTAAAACACACACACACACACACACACCAGTCCCTAACTTTGAGGAGTTGCCCGTCAGTTTAGTGGAAAGACACACTTACATAAGTATTGGCTCTTACTAAAAATATTTAAAATATCTATTTATACATCTGCCAATCTCTAGATTATAAGTTCCTCTAGGGTAATCACTGTGACTTTTTATGTCTGTACCCCCAGTACCAAGCACAATTCTTCGATTCTTGGACAAGGCACCTTAATTAATATATGTTAAACTGAACAAAAGCACATACAAGTTCCTAAGAAGTGTCCAATGTACATGAAGGGATCAAAAACTAGCTGTGCCTAACACAAACTGGAATTGGGAGGCTGACATGAGCTTGATCTTGAAGGATGGCTAAAACTTTGCCAGATAAGGAAGGAAAGGACATTCAAAGCAGAAGTTATAGCATAAACAGAGACAGAGTCACCCACAAGGATGCAAAGGTCATTTCTGACTAGATTCTGAAGAGTTTTATGCAACTATTTTAAGAAATGTGAGTTTTAATTTATATGCAATTAGGGTCAAGTTGAAGTCATATGAAATGTGCAGTCTTCTTGTTTCAAGTAGATAACTCTGGTAGCAGTACGTAGGATTATGTTGGGGGACAGAATGATAGTAGGGTGACCATTTTAAAACAATTAGCCATAGTTAAAAAATCATGGAGTTTGGAGGTTAAACGGGTCTATGTTAAAATCACAGTCAATGCCACTAATGAGTTATGTGACATGGCAAGTTGTGAACTATTCTGAGCCTGAGCTTTTATTCACTTCAAAAGGTTGTGGCAAAAACTAAAGTGGTAGCATTTATAAAGTAGCAAGGAAACTCCTGGCAAGTATTAGATGTACAATAAATAAGAGTCATTATTAATCTCTGTGAGACACTATTCTCTCATCACTAAAATGAATACAAAGTACTTACTTCTTAGTCATTTCTTAAAGATCACAGGAAACATATGTAAAGTGCCTGGAATATAGCTGATGGTCAGTGAATGTTATTTAAGAATATCTTTCAGGAGCCCAAAGGAGAGATGATGAAGTAAAGCTATGGCAAGAGGTTTAAAGAATAGAGGTCAGATTCTTAGAGGGATCATTTTGAAGTAGAACCAACAGGTTTTGATGATATGAAATAGGAACACGAATTTCAGAGTAAAGAGCATATATCAATAATACATAGCTCAAATCTTGGAAGTGACAAGGGAGGAGGACTAGACATGGGAAACAGAATACTAATATATAAGGGGCAGAAGGAAGAGAGAAAGCCAAGGGTTGAAGCAATGAAAGAATGATGAGAAATAAAAAGGAACCAAAACAGCAGAACTAATGGAAGCTCTGGCAGGAAAGATTTCGTCCAAAAAGCATGAGTAAGGTGAGTATATAATTGTGATACAGTACAGAACAGTCAAATGGATCATCATAAAACATAATGAGGGTTCCCCCGGTAACTCAGATGGTAAAGAGTCTGCCTGCAGTGTGGGAGACCCGGGTTTGATTCCTGGGTTGGGAGAATCCCCCAGAGAAGGAAATGCCAACCCATTCCAGTACCTTTGCCAGGAAAATTCCATGGATGAAGGAGGCTGGCAGGCTACAGTCCATGGGCTCGTAAAGAATTGGACACGACTGAGAGACTTCACTCACTCACTCAAAACACAATGAAGTATTTCTGGCATTGAAGTTATTTCACTATTGCTTAAATCTGAATTATGGCACCTTTTTCAATTTCTGCTTACCTTGAACAATTAATTTCACCTCTTTTCTGTCTTTCCCAACAGGGTTATCTCCTTCACACACATAAATCCCAGAATCTTCTGCCCTCATAGAAATCAAAGTGAGAGTTGCATTCTCAGAAAGGAGCTGTAGATTCCCATTGTCTAATTTCTTGCTCCAGAGAATCCGTGGAGCTGGTAGACCTGCACTGGTACACGTCATCGTCACAGAGTCGCCTTCCTGCAGCCTTGTGGAGGGATTCACGGATATAGCTGTGTCTTTGGGTGAGACTGAGAAGGCAGGGCACAGTATTAGTCATTGCTAAGCATCATAATGGTCCCACAGGGCTACTGTGTTTCTCTCATAGACTGAATTTACAGCTTTCTCAATTGGACATACTCTGCCAAACTAACATAAAGAATTGCTGAGTCATAAAAATTAGTCAGTCCAGTTCCTGACTGATTTGATGGAGTTACTTTTTTTGATGTTTGGTGTTTTCAGATGGCCATAGATACTCAGAAATTAAGAAAAACCGTTAGAATTATGTGGTTCAATCTCCCAGGTAAGGTACAAATTCCAGCTCAGCTTCCTTGCCAAATGTTCATGCAAGTCAGCTTCAACACTTCCGGTGCACAAGGCAATCCACTGCCTTATAGTAAATATTGTCTATTTGATTTTTGGACAGCTCTGATTATTAGAACATTTTCCCTCTATTGAGCTGAAATCTTTCTCTTTGTAACTAACTTCTATACACCGGTCATAGTTCAGTCCTCTCTTGCTAAAGAATAATCCAAATCCCACTTCTACATGACAGTCATTCAAATACTTAATCATAGCTCTCATTTCCAAGTTTTATATTCTCTAGGAAAAATACCTCCTATTTTTGACTATTCTTCTCAAAACATTGATAAAATCCTTTCCATTTCATTCTGTCTCAGCTAGACATATTGTAGAAGGCAATGCTCCTTTTAACTATGGTGTCTAGGTAAGACAAGAGCATTTCAATCTAGAACAGAGCACAGTGAGTCACTCCTCCACAACTTTGGGATTACAGGGCTGCCTCAACTCCCCCAGCCATCTCCAAGAGAATGGAGACAATCAAATCTCATCTCCTCTCTCCCACCCCATGTACACGTGTCCAGGTATGCACACACACATACACTCACACACAAAGTGCTGCTTGTAAAACTTCTATACCTTGATGTTTCAAGGCATGATATAAGAGTTTACAAAACATAATTTAAAACATTTTACCACTTGAGCGTGTTATTTCTCACTACCCAGTCAAGTGGCAGTGATTTAATCATCAAGTCGGGTCCGACTCTTATGATCCCATGGACTATAGCCCACTAGTCTCCTCAGTCCATGGGATTTTCCAGGCAAGAGTACTGGAGTGGATTGCCATTCCCTTCTCCAGGGGATCTTCCCAATCCAGGGATAGATCTGGCATTGCAGGCAGATTCTTTACCGACTGAGCCACCAGGGAAGCTCCCCAGTCAGGTGGTATGATCATTATTCCCCTTTGATAGACTGAGAAATCACGTGACTCTAATTCACAGGTAATGGAGACAGAACTTCAGCTCAACTTTTCTCAACCCTAATTGGGTGTGCTTTTTTTCGAATTATGCAGTTGACAAGAATTACGCTCTCGGTGAATCAAAATGGTATAAAAACTACAAACTTGTTTCTTCTTGACTGTAGCTGCTTGGTTTATTGCTGTGTGCATCCAAGAGTATATTCCCGCAGACAGACACAAGCACTTACTGTAGACTTCCAGTTCTTTTGTAGCTTTCCTCACTTTGGGTGGAGAGTCATCATCATAAATGTGTAATGTAGCTTGACAAACTAGAGCTTTCCCAATATCCTCATCAGTAGGCGAGAAGGTCACTTCCAAGCTCTTTGTTTCCTGGGCCTTTTTTTCTGAAGGCTCCAGAAATTCCTGTATTTTCATGGAACGGTTCCCTTTGAACAACTCTATCTCCAGCCTCTCAAATGGGTAAACATCAGGCACCGAACACGTGACTGTGACTGGCTTCCCGACCTCTGGGGGGCTACCCAAATGAATCTCTGGATCCTTAGAGAAAGCTGCAAAGGTCAAACGAGTACAAGCATGTGGATTTTTTGTTCATATTGTGTAAAGTCCCTTACTGATTTAAATCAATGTAATCTGAGTCTAATATTTTTGTGAATACAATCTTAATACAGCAGAATGATTGTTTAAATACCCTTTCATGGTTTGGGGTGCATTCAAAATCAGAACAACCTGTTAAAGAGTTCCTCAGTTCTGATCCTGCATGTACAAAGGGTTGCATGTTGCCAGAGTAAAAGGAGAGAGAAGAAACTTATGTTTATTGAATATTGATATGTGCCCATCCCTGTGCTATTCATTTAACATCAGTGACTTTATACTCACAACAACCCTAAGAAATAGATACCACATTTCATAGATATGAAAGCATAGACTCAGCACATTTGCATAACTTTCCTAAGGTCACACAGCTAGTAATGGTGATGCTGGGATTTAAACTCAAGACTTTTATTATTCCATATGACTACTGGGACTTTCATTATGTTATATCACAGGCTTTTATTTTGGTCAGGGTAGATATACTTCATCTTACAGATAAGGAACCTGAAGCTTAAAATATCATTCAAAGAATAATTATTAGGCAAGATATGCTAAGAAATGAAAAGAGCAACTCTAAATAATTGTCTTTTGAACAGGCATTCATCCACCAGAAACATACATCTGTGCAATCTTTAAATTATGGAAGGCAGATTTGCCTCCCAAAATGTCTAACTTAACATCTAACTAATATTCCACTTGAAATTTTTAATGTCAAGGAAAGAACTAGTTCAGTGAGCCATTGCTTTCTTTGCAAGGCTGCTTTCCATTGCAAACCGCCATGATGATAACATACTGGCTTGATTCAAGGCTGTGAAATAAGAAGAATACAAAGGTCCCAACTCTAAAAAATATTACAATCAAATGTGGAATGGAGACAGGACTGTTAAACATAATGAAAGACAGACACTCTTGAAGGGAAAAAAAAAAAAAAGAAACTTCAGGCAAGATAATTAAAGCCAGAAGGGCCTTCATTTTCATTCTTAAATCTTCAACTATTTGGTTCCTGCAAGGAGAGGCAAAGGAAGTGGCAAAAATTTGCTATGTGAAGAAACAGTATTTCTCATTTTTCCACCAATAATTTTGTCCCTTGTATTCTGAAAGAAATGCGCCTATAATCCACATAGTTTGCTGTCACATAATGTAAGAACTGGCTACTTTCCCCTGTATTTACATAAGGGAGCCTTTCATGGAGCTCAGAAGGCTTCGCAGACATAAACTCTGCATGTACAACCAGCATAATTGAAAGCAGCTGGCCAAGCACAGTTTCTCGAGAAGCATTAGCTACATAAGGGATTATTGAAGAATCAGTTAAGATTATTGGACCAAGTTGAGCTCCACCATGGCAAAAGAAAAGCAACATAATTAGAAAAGATAATCAAATAAGGTCTTCCTAAAGAGATGACTATCAAGGATTCCGGTTTTCTGTCAGGAGCAGTAACCAGAATGCAAGTGATGTATTTCAGGTTATTTTTTTCACTCCTTTTTGCTAACTTTCTTGCTGGATTGAGAATGGATTGAAATACATTTTGGTAGGCTAGTAAACAAAGGCTATTCATTCACATTCACTAGGCAAATCGAGTTCATTTTCCAAATATCCTTGAGGTTAAGCTGTTGAGCATTAAGACTTAATGGCACCAAACCAAAACAGAAATAAAACCTCCTAAATTTATCTCTGCCGAAGTCAAATAAGTGAAAAGTTTGCAGATATTTTTCTTCTGTCTAAGGGGGAAGATTTTGTACCAAAGCCCAGTATTAAATTATATATCTCCTCCTTAAACTTTAACCTAATTTTAAGTACCAAATTGCATAAGAACAAATAGAAAATCCCTGAAGTATGGAATTCATAAGTCATTTGACATATGGCCAAGTAAACATGTAGGAAACAAATTGAATCAAATTAAACACACACACACACAAATAAAATAAAAAGAATCTTAGAGAACTTCACTTTATGTTTAAGAAAACTGAAGCCTAGAGAAGTTGAACTTCACCCGTGGTCACCATATTTGTGGCAGAGTTGGAAACAGAAGCCAAGATTTGGGTCTCTAGTCTGGTGGTAGATTCAGCTGTCTTCTAGATTTCTTGCTGCACTCAGTCCCCTAGCCAAGAATCTGGACATGAGTATCCTTTTTCTTTTTTTCTTTTAAAATTATCCTTTTACAAAATTTATTTTAAAGCAAAATGGAGAAAAAATCAAATATTGTGTAAAGTACTCACAGTAGATCTCCACTCGGATTGCTTTCTCCAGTTTTATAGCCCCGCAAATCACTGTGCACAGGTACTGGTGTTCATTCCCGAAATTAACAGGATCCATGGTCAGCGTGGATTTGGTCCCTTCATTTCTCACGTTCCCGTTCAGTGGGCTGTCCATCTGAGTTCTCCAAGAAAATGATGCAGACTCACAGCCTGTTGCGCTACAAATCAGTGAAACAGAGTCACCAATCTGAGCAAAAATTTTGGATTCATCTGGGAACATGTCAACTTTGAAAGCTTGAGCTGTGAAGGCAAAAAGAGAAAAACAAGCTTACCACTGGTTTGTTTAGTATTCTATACCTTCTTCTCTGTTCTAGTATAACACCCAGATCTGACTGATCTCTTTCCTAAACTGCTTCTAAGTAACGCAGGGCAGCACAGGAGTCCCTGCCAAAAGAAGTTGTTAAAATCATCTTTGCTTCTGAGAATTCTCACTTCTGACCTTGATGCCCATTTATTAGTTGTTTTGTCACTAGCCAAGTTTTTTCTCATTATCAAGTTCAGGAAACTAAAGAGACAGACCTTCCTAGAAACAGAATCCAATTACTCATGCAACATTGAAAAAATCCAAAAAGCAACAACTTTGCTGCTTTAACTATGACAATATAATGGTACGTATTAATAGCAGTAGTCAGTAGCACATTAAAAGTTAGGCTAAATTAAGTTTTCCTACTCTTTAAAAATCCAGGGCTTCCCTGATGGCTCAGATAGTAAAGAATGCCCCTGAAATGCAGGAGACCAGAGTTTGATTCCTGGGTTGAGAAAAGCCCTTGGAGGAGGGCATGGCAATGCACTCCAGTATTCTTACCTGGGGAAACTCCATGGACGGAGAAACCTGGTGGGCTACAGTCCATGGGGTTGCAAAGGGTTGGACACAAATGACGAAGCACACACATTGCCTTTCTTTATTATCATAACAAAGTGACTGAAGTCAAAGTCAGGGCTAAAATGGAATACTAGCATTTGGAACAAATCAAGGAGAACTTACAAACTGCAAACACCATCCAAAGAATATTTGAGATGCCAAAGATCGCAGACATCTTCCTAGGCATTTACGCTGCTGTTCTTATGAGAAAATAATGATTCCAAAACGCTTGTTTCTGTTCCTCTTGAAGGTTCCTGGGAAGAGTCTTGAGCTCCTAAAGCCAGTGAGGTTCGGTGAGGTTCGGTGAGGAATGAAATAGAAAGTCGGCTCTTTATATAAGGTCTTGTTGCAGAGATGCAGAAGCAGAGGAAAATCCCTTCAAGGGGAAACTGGAGCAGAGCCAGAAAAAAAAGTTTAACTGACACCCAGCCAAGTTCAGCATTAACCCCTTCTGTGGCACTCAGTACTGAAACTGCTCTCTCCATCATAGAAAAAGAAAACACTCCGAAGGCTAAAAATTAAAACTTTACCTCGCTTTTCATTCCAAAAGAATATTTTTGCATGAAGCTAATGTTTTTTTCAGAATGAGACTTTCTGAATCTAACTGGGGAGAAGAGAGACAGAAAGAGTAAATTACACTCTAGTTCTTGAAGTGGCTGAACAAGCACTATGTCATGTGAACTGATTTTTCTCCATTATGGAGATATGTTTGCAATTCAAAAACAGAGACTATATTTTCTCTTGCAAGAAAAAGGAAAAGATGCTTTTTCCTTTTCTTTTTTAATGTATTATTTTTAAAAAGGGAGACAGCATAGCTTTTGAGTTTCATACATTTTATTCACAAAATAGTTTTTTGGGCAACAAAGATCATGTTTCTGAAATGATTTTCTTGAGTAGAGAATAATGGAATGCTACCAAAAGAAGAGAAAAATTTTCTTCTTTTGTTTTAGAAAAGTTACTAATTCTCAATTCAGTTGCTGGGTAATTGACAGTCTTACATGCAGACTCTCGTGCAAATGATGGAATTCCTTCGAAGTGGTAAATCTCTTAGAATGTGAGACTTAACCATAAAAGGTTAAAACATGAAAAATAATGTGTTTCTCTTATATGAGATGAGGACAACAATTTTATGCTCTTTATTTCCCCTCTAAAGAAATGACTTTTTAAAAAGTATTTTTAAATAGCTGTTTTTGCCTTGCACACATGTACTTCAGTCTTTGCAAAACATTTACCCATCATAAAGAAACCAGAACAACCACTTCCTTGTATTATACATGTGCAGGTCTTTCTCCTTCATCGGATCATCAGTTCCTACCATGGTCTCAGACCAGTTCTTGTTCATCATTGTATTTACTTCTCCCTTCCCAAAGTCTAATGCATGTTTTTACACTTAGCAGTTACCAAAAATAGTTTAAATTAAAATTTGGGAAAGAAACTTCCAAAATGTTAGCAATAATATGTAACTACTGCGTGAGAAAAAATGTTGGATTCTACAAAAAAAAAAAAAAAAATTCCAAAGCTCACAGACTCCAAGGGATGTGTACAATAAACAGCCCTGTGCCTTTTGACAGAGGAAGACCATAACTGAGATCTGGAGCTAATAACTGTTCCTCATGGCTGGAGAGGTTCTGGACCTCCTCTTGGGTGCAGATGAGGCTCCCATTCAAGGATAAGGAGGGAGAAGAAGTGGAAGCAGCTAGTGACTGTAATAACATGTAAATGTGACTTTATCTGCCAAATAGCTAAGGATCAGAAAAGTAGCTTCAGGCAAAATTAGCTGATGAGCAGGTACTCTACAGGTCCTTTACAAGCTCATGTCATGGAAGAAGATGATCAGAATCATGTAGGTTGACTGCTTAACTCAGAAGAGATAGAAAGGGAATTATGGAATTTCAAGGTAATTCTCTGGAATGTAAAGATAAAAGGAAATAATAGGATCCCAAAATGGGATCACCAAGAACAAGTTATTGCAAAAAACTTCTGTTTCACACTTAAATAGGGTTCTAAACTTGGAACATTGGGAAATATCTAGTCTATTGAATTAATTCATAGTTGTTTCAGCAAAAGTCCCTCATGGTATCTTTGAGTTGGATGCCATTTAAGATCCTACCTGTTCCTCCCAGGTTGAGCTGACTGTATTCTCTTCTGTGACCTCTCCACTAGAGCACACTGGCCGTCAAGCACTTGTCATGCTGCGTTTACCTCTTAACATGTTGATTGTTCCTAACCAACAAACCTCACATAGTTTCATTTTCCATTATCACATCTAGACTAGAATAAGGTATTCATTAAAATTTACACAACGAATGATTGAATAGAAATTCAAATATAAAGATAACATATTGAGACCGGATAGAGCATTACTGTATTCTGTATTTGAAATTGTTCAGTTCAACATTTTTATCATTAACATAGAAGATGTGATTGCTTAGCATTCATAATGTAAGAGAAAGATAGCTAACCTTAGAATCAAGATGAGGATGATCCAAAAAGATGTAATAATTGTCCAGATGATGAAGTGAAATTTAATGGAATGCATTAAAGTCCCACATTTAAATGTAGAACATCAAAGTCTTCAGTAAAATATGGAAGAGATTTGACTTGATGGTCATCAAAGGAAGATTGTCTGATGGTTTTAGTGAATCACAATGTGTACACATGCTGGCAGTGCCATGGGAAACCAAAATAGATATTGATACCTTCAATGTGCACTCAATCAAGACAGCATTCAAGCTTCAAGTCGCCTGAGGCCATGGTCTCTAATACCATATTGGGAGCAGAGGTGTCAGTTCAAGAGTCTAGGCCTTATGTGAGAGACTGACAAAATAGAGGGTGTCTAGAAGAAAGTGATAGGGCGATAAATGACTTCAAAATCCCTAGCCTGGTAGGAGCTGTTGAAAGAATTGCATATTTAGTTTGTATAAAAGACACACGAAGGTCATGGATAATTGAATGACTGATGTGCAGAGGAAGGATATACTTGCTGCACTGTGTTATATCAAAGGCTAAGTGTAGAGTTTTTTGGTAGTAATTACTAGATTATTAGCAGCAAGAAGATCAGGAGTGCATGTCCTATTCACCAGTAGATCCTCAGCACTTAATACAGTGACCAGTAGATAGTAGGGGGCTCAGTAAATCAACACTGAATGGACAAATTAACAACTTGAAAGAGATCTTGACTTGGATCTCATTAGTCTTAAATACAAGTCCACTACTTTATGTAGGAAGTATACTTTGTACAAGCTTAGGTAGCCTCTCTGCACTTTGTTTATACATGCTCAAACAGGGATAATAGTATCATTTCAAGTAATTCACATGGTTTTATGATTACCAAATCAGAAGTGATTGTGTGAAATCTCTTTAAATATAAACAGCAAAGTGATATGTAATAATACTTAAATACAACCCTATTAAGTTCACTGTGAAGAAGGACATTCTAGTTACTAAATCTTTTCAGCAGTGGAATGGGTCCCCTTAGGAATTCGTCAACTCTTAGTCACTGCAGGTTTTCAAGCGAGGTTGGTGACACCTCCTAAAAATGTGGTAGAAGTCAGGTTTTGCTTCTATGAGATATCTAACTGGGTGACAATTAAGGTGACCTCCAATATTAAGATTTTGTTTCTGTGTTATCCATCGTTTCTAGTCTAACTTCACCAATCCCCTCGTTGTACATTTCAAAATTCTAAGCACTTTCTAATGCTACTCTGGTTGGACCCTGAGGAGTTTCAGGCATACTTCTCTCAGCTGGGTTCATAACCACCACATTTGTAGCAACTATTTTAGGACTTCCAAGTAATCGATTTGTTATGTTATGGGCCTCTCAGGAGCTAAAGTTCCTCACTTTTTCTAACACATCAGAGGCGAGTGACATTCCTTGTAGTAAGTGTGGCTCTTTATGCAGCCACACTCACCAAGGTGAGAGGAGGAGCAATTCCTTCTTGGGAGGGCATCTCAGAATGAAAAGGGAACCTAAAAGACCCCTTCAGTAGATTTTGCAATGTCAGTTCCTCCCCACTTTGAGAAGTACTCTGGATAGCTAAAAAAAAAAAAAAAATCTATGTCTGTTACTCCATTAGGCCTATTTAGTAGGAATCTCTCACAGTGATTTAACGAATGTGAGAGCCAAGGATATGCAGTTCAAAGCTGTTTCAGCTACTTTAGAAAAACTTTGAAAACCAAGATTTCTTCTAGTTTAAGGGATTGTCATCTATAGCTTGTCACTAACCCTCATGATCATAGGACTGCTGCTTCATCTCCAAACATCACATCTGTATTTCAGGCAAGAAAACCAGAGAAAGGCAAAGGGGCAGACAGAAAAAAACCATTGGAGATTATTCCCTTTTAAAGAGCTTTCCAAGAAGTCCCAGGGAGTGACTTACAGTTACATCTCACTGAAAAAGCTGAAAGATTGAATATTTTAACTGACTACATTGCTGCCCCAAATAAATCAGAATTATGTGTATAAGAAAAAGAGAATGGATAATAAGAAGGCAATTAACAATGCCTGTCACAGTTTCCAAATTCAGCTCAATTCAGAAGATGTTTACCGAGAAACACTATCAAGGCACATGCTAGCCCTGGGGATATATAAATGAAGGTGAACGTAATTTCCATGTCAGAATGAAGAATAACTGCACCGTATTGTTCTTGCCTGGAGAATCCCAGGGACGGCGGAGCCTGGTGGGCTGCTGTCTATGGGGTTGCACAGAGTTGGACACGACTGAGGCAACTTAGCAGCAGCAGCAGCAGCATCAGAGAACTTCCACATAATTGAGAGGCCACTTGATTATCTTTGTCTATAATTAGAAAATAGAATGTGGGATTCCTTGGTGGCTCAGTGGTAAAGAATCCACCTACCAATGCAGGAGACGTTGCAAGAGACCAATGCAGGGTTCAGTGCAGGATCTGGGAAGATCCCACGTGCTCCAGGGCAACTAAGCCCATATGCCACAGCTACTAAGCCTGTGCTCTAGAGCTTGGGGGCCACAACTACTGAAGCCCGTGTGCCCTAGACTCCTTGCTCTGTAACAAGAGAAGCCACTGCAATGAGATGCCTGCGACCCACAACTAGAGAAAAGCCCACACAGCAGTGAAGATCCAGCATAGCCAAGAACAAATAAATAAAAGGAAAGAAAATAAAATATATTTTAGCAACCTGATATAAGTTTGACATTTTCTGGAAAACAA